CCAAAACTATAATGGGGTTCAAACAAGAACCAGACCAGTTTATGGAGGATAGGTCCGTTGGTGGCTATTAGACAATATGGCCAGGGATGCAACCTCATGCTCTGAGTGTCTGTAGCCTCTGATTCCCAGAGAGGAATGGAGTGGATGACAGGGGATTGATCACATGATGACTGCCTGTTCTGTTCACTCCTTCTGAAGCACCTGGCACTGGCTACTATCAGAAGACAGGATACTGGGCTAAATGGACCATTGGTCTGACCCAGTATGGCTGTTCTTATTTCTTATGATGTACAAACACACTGGGAGGCAGCAGAGTGCCATGTGGTTCAGCGGAGGCAATTGGGCAATGAGATCCTCGGTGTTAGAGTGGGGCAGTGCCAGAGCTGCAGGAAAATCTGGGACTGGACAAACAGGAGGAGGGACACACTGATAGGAAGCCAAGGACAGAAAGACATTTTAGGAGATGTGGGATAGATGGAAGCACCTACCCCTGGTTACCAACAGCCTCTATGCTTAGGTCTTCCCATGCTCCTTCACTCCCCAATTCGCCTCCTGTGGAGACACCGTACAGCCAGGAACACCAGCTCTGCCCCATGGAAAGGAGGCTTCTATGCCAGGAGTATCCCCCCAGGGGCCTTACAGCTGCATTACTGCCACTCTGCACAAAGTGCCCACAGCACAGTCAGACCTCACCCCCTCTTCAGACAAGGCCCAATCGTTCAAATATTTACACACGGGTAACTTCACTCGCACGAGGAGCACACACACATATGCAAGGGGTAGAACAGATGACATCATGAAATGCAGCACAAAGGAAAATTCATGAGAAAACTGAGAAGTAAAACAAAGATGACTTTCCACCAACAAAAGCCTGGGTCAGGAATGTTGGAGTAGGCTGAGGGCTCACTGCCTGTAAAGGTGGAGGGATGGAAAGGAGTTTCTGTAGGTGTCTGGCTGGCTGAGTGCCTCTTGGCAATGGTTATTTTAACGCTTCTGGGATCTCATTGTATTGTATAATTAATGAAGGCGTTAAGGTGCCTAGAGCTTTGGATAGGTGTCTATCATTTTAAATCTAAATATATAAAAATGAAAATAATAGAAGAATGAACAAGATCATAGTGCAAAGGGTGTAACAGTTTGTGTTACTAACAGTGGCCTCTGTCTAACAGGTGCCTTTTGTAAAACTGATGTGTGTGTAAAGCATTTCACCTGTGTATCTTACTCTCCATATTGTGTGAATAATACGGCAAACCACAGTGACATTTGCCCCTGTGTGAGGGCCGGCACGAGGCCTATGGATTACTGAAATGAAAGTCCCACTTAAGCCCAGAGAACGATATTTTAGCTGCAGGGGGTACATTTCACCTCATATTAACAATGATGTTGATTCTCCTTGTCTTGCTGCCAGATGGCAGCACATGAGCACAAAACTCATAAGAACGTACATAAGAACATAAGAATGGCCATACTGGGTCAGACCAAAGGTCCATCTAGCCCAGTATCCTGTCTTCTGAAAATGGCCATGACAGATGCTTTAGAGGAATGAACAGAACAGGTAATCATCAAGTGATCCATCCACTGTCGCCCATTCCCGGCTTCTGGAAAACAGAGGCTAGGGACACCATTCCTGCTCATCCTAGCTAATAGCCATTCATGGACCTGTAGTCCATGCATTTATTTAGTTTTTTGAACCCAGTTATAGTCTTGGCCTTCACAACATCCTCTGGCAAAGAGTTCCACAAGCGGACTGTGCATTGTTTGAAGAAATACTTCCTTTTGTTTGTTTTAAACCTGTTGCCTATTAATTTCATTTGGTGACCCCTAGTTCTTGTGTTAAGAGAAGCAGTAAATAACATTTCCTTATTCATTTTCTCCACAACAGACATGATTTTATAGACCTCTATCATATCCCCCCTTAGTCGTCTCTTTTCCAAGCTGAAAAGTCCCAGTCTTATTAATCTCTCCTCATATAGAAGCTGTTCCATACCCCAATCATTTTTGTTGCCCTTTTCTGAATCTTTTCCAACTCTACTATCCCTTTTGAGATCGTGTACACTCCTACTCCCAGGGAGCAGAACGATCCCCAGGGCCTAAAAGGGAGACCAAAGCTCCCAGATCCTTTTCTGAGATGGGGCGACCACATCTACATGCAGCATTCAAGATATGGGCATAACTTAATAGAGGCAATATGATACTCAACCAAACTGCTGTAATATTTGAAATTTTGTGTATAATCTTAAATGGCTTTTACAACCCTAATGTAACAACCACTGACATTCTAACAAATTGTACACAAATCGGTTCTCCAAGTCGAAACTCTGATCCTCTGACAAACCCAGTTCTCTTTCTGTTCAACTTCCCAGCAACGTCAGTTCCAAATATCCCAAAGGGGAATGTGCTCAAGACTTCCACAAATAGGAGCAAAAGCCAAAGTGACTCCAGTGCAATACATATATGATGGATGATGATGTTAATGCCAGTATATACAGATATATAACAAAGGGTTTTCCAGCCCATGCATATAAAAGCAATAAATCAGATGGGAGATGACTCCTCCATTGATTCATAGGGGAGAACAACATAAGGAAAATCTCTCTTCTAACACACCCATTGCTGTTCAACACCTGAGACCAACACTTCCCAACCTGGGTGCCTGAAGTTAGGCTACTAAATCTGATTCCCACAACTGCTGAGCACCTACTAACTGCAGTGAAGTCCATGGGAGCTGAAGATGCTCAGCCCCTCTGAAAAAAAATCAGACCATTTTTACTTCGGTGCCAAATATGGATTTAGGGGCCTAACTTTAGGCACTCACCTGGATATGATCCTTTTGGCCCAAAAGAATATATGTTAAAATAATAGCTCCCAACTAGAGAACATGCTCAGTAAACTAACCACAGCTCGATGTGGTTTTACCTATTCAAGCCTTTGTTGATGTTGACCAAGAGATCTCGTTGGCCCATTGGTAGCCCCTGACACAGACTGACAGAGATGTTCTTGAGCAGCTGTTTTTTTCTGTTCTGCATCTATCCTTTACTTTTGTTTTATTTTCCACTCCACATTATAGGTCTAATGAGTGCAAAGCCTATTGAACCTCAGGCCATAGTGTTTTTTCGGTTTAACAACCTACCTCAGATGATCGTGGATTTCTTTTTGCCTGTTCCTCTGATGCTGTCTCCTCTCCACTTTGGGGGAGAGACGGAAATTTTGTCCATCATCTCGACCACTCCTCCAGTCCAGTTTTCTCACCTGACCGCAGATGGACCAGGGATTCTGCCTGCCTGAGTAAAGAACTACAATTTAGCCCTAAAGCTGACAACAATAATGGCTCACCTACCACCTAACAAAGGAACATCTCATTCTTTGTTTCCTTTAACCTTCTCCTCTCTTTTTTGTTATCCATGTCCCTTTCTATTTGGTTGAGGAAACTGTCTTGTCAAAACTAATTACTATATATACTTGTTCATAAGCCAATTTTTTTTGGTAAAAAAGTGAAGCATCAAAGAGTGGGGGTTGGCTTATCAACGGGTCTACACCAAAATTTGATGATTTTAAGCTCTATGGAATTATTGAATTGAATATCTTATACATTGTCATTTTGTTTACCTGGAGCATTCACAGGCATGGAGCCCCTCAGCTCCAGGCCATGGATTGCCATTCCCAGCCAATGGGAGCTGCGGGAAGGGGCAGCCAGCCAGGCTGCTTCCTGCAGCTCCCATTGGCTGGGAACGGCAAACCGCAGCCACTGGGAGCTGAGGGGCTCTGTGCCTGTGAACGCTCCAGGTAAACAAAATGTCCAGGCCTGCTAGCAGCTTACCCTAACGGGCCGGGAGCCAAAGTTTGCCAACCCCTGAAACATAGGGTTGGCTTATGAAAGGGTCATACCGTTTTTGCTATTTTTACCTATCCATCTTGGGGGATCGGCTTATAAACCCAGTCGCACACGCAGGTAGTAGGCACACGCAGGATTTTCATAGGGACTGGGCAGATACACCAGAGGAGGGGTGTGGCCCAATGGGCAGGGAAGTGGGAGTGGCCACGCAGAAGGGTGCTGATGCCTTTTCCAGAATGGCATGGGATATGGACACATTCAGACATGGTCTGGCTAGTAAAAGTCAGCAGGAGACAATGGAAAATGAGTTTAGTCAGCTTCCCAGTGACTGCCGGGTAGGCCACACCACGCAGAGGAGCCAATAGCTGGGGAGTGGGTAGTGCAGCTTAGGATGTTTGGAGGCCCTGCTGCTCCACTCACACAACCCCCTGTACCTCTCAGAGTCGGGTGCCCACCATGTCATGGAAGTAGAGGATGAAGGGGCACAGACACAATGGGCAGTGCTGGAGCCTGGCACACTGACACCACTTTTCAGTATTTCTGTGCTGCGTATACACCTCAAATCTGAGTATGCTCTGACCTAGGGTCTCCTTTTCCCAGACCTCATTTTCATCCTGCCTGCGTGCACCCTTCAAGTCTGAGAACAGCCTTCATTCTAGGCATGCAGAATGCATGCAGCCACTGGTGCCTCTGCAAAGAGCCATGCAGCTGCCAGTGCCGCTGCTTCCTTGAAAATCTGGCCCTATCAAGATCATGAAAATGGATTAATTAAAAGAGACTAGGCTGATTGCATTTAAACCCCACACAGTAAATGACTGAATGATTTTAGCTTTTCTAACTTGTGTTTCAACCTGCTGCTCGCTCGGTTACTCATCATTAGTCAAACAGCCGTTGTTACCCCCTGTGCTTGTCAAGCTAACTCTGGCTGCTTTACCATCTGAACCATGCAAATATGTTGTAGTTATTACATCCAATAACCACAAGAAACCATCTAGTCCGATATTACAAAGCTCCTCCCTGGCATTAACATCTGGTCATTTACGTAACTGGGCTCTTTTTGCATATTCACACACAGCTGATGTTTCCTCACTGAGCTGCTGAGCACATAAATGGTTCCATTTCCACTACATGCCTTACTACTGAGTATTTGCAACCACACAGAAGCAAGATGATCTCAAAGACTCCCCTTCTCTGGCTGCTGCTTTTCTGGATTCAGGGTAAGAAACAGACAAGTGTCAAAAGTGTTGACAAGGAATGTGGCAAATCATAAGAAAAATGCCCATGGTTTGTAAAGTTATATGCTGATTCCAGGTATATTTTTAGTTTATTTTTACTGTTCAGTTTACAGGTGTTTCAATGTAGAGTTTTGAATAATGTTAATTTCATTGTCCAATTTACCCAACCCCAACCCTGCCAGTTTTTATTCTTTCTCTCCAGGTTCCAGTGGGCAGATTGTGATGACTCAGACCCCAGAATCCCTGGCAGTGTCTCCAGGAGACAGAGTCACCATCAACTGCAAAGCCAGTTCAAGCATTGGTGGTGCTATAGCCTGGTACCAACAGAAATCAGGACAAACTCCTAAGCTCCTTATCTACGATGCTTCCACCCGTCCCTCTGGGATCCCAGACCGGTTCAGTGGCAGTGGGTCGGGCACTGACTACACATTCACAATCAGCAGGGTTGAAGCTGATGATGCTGGAGATTATTATTGTCAGCAGTATAACAGCTTCCCTCTCACAGTGATACAGACCAGTACAAAAACCTCCCTGCTCTATGAAGCATGAAGTCTAGTAGATACTAGTACATACAAGTAGCATAACAAACTAGTTTTCAAAAGTTCTGCCAAAAGAAAAATACGAGGATAACTCATCCCATCCACTAACATAATCTGAAACTCTAGCATTAAACCGTATTGCCATCCCAAGAAGTTAGCTATGCAGGGAAGTTTTGTTATAGCATGAGCTAAACAACAGAGGGTCATCAGTGAAATCCCACAAACCTATTCTGTCTTTTTTTAAGTCTAACTTTAACTATGAATTGTTTGGGTTATGGTCCTTGGTGTTTGGATCATGACAACATCTCTGTCACTGATTTTTATCCAAAATTACTAATATGCACTCACAGCCTTAACTCCATTTTATTATTTATTGTTTGCTCTCCAGTAGCATCTACAAAGCCCTAGACATGGACCCCATTGTGCTAGGTGCTGTACAAACACTGAACAAATAGACAGTCCCTGCCCCAAACAATTGCTACAGTCAATGCAGTTTTTGTCTGGGAATGAATACATTAATCTAGAAAGCAAATTTCATTAGCTGGAGGTTAAGGTTGTTTTCAGACAAAAACCCCAGAGCATGGGAAATAAAAGTAATCTTCACTTATTCCTACAGCCCAGATCACATACAAATAAACTGCGACCACATGATGTACATTAAATCATTAATACATACTCCAAGTTACAAACTATGCAGATCAGATGTGGGCCATCAGGGAAGGCACCAGTAGTGCCCCATTTTGGGAATGAGACAAAACACCCTCTCATGGGCTGGTTTATGGCAGACAGCTCCCTGCTTGATCCATTTCCCAGACTTAGTACCATATCTATCTTCAATGGGTTTATATGTGTTGCTGGTGGGCAATCCACTGGTGTCTTGCACTCCAGAACGTGGGCCCCTTCTTGGTCTGTTTGGGAAGGTGCCAAGTGCAGCTCGTTTTCACCAGCAAGCAGCAGGTTTGTGACTAAGCTGGTAGACCACGGGGGCTGGCTGCACTTGGCATGCCTGGGACAACAACTTTGAGCGCCCTGACTCACTCTGAAGAAGCCCACAGTGATTGCGTCCTTGATAGATGTTGGGATCCTGCTACACTGGCCCTCAAAGCCCAACATGTACAAAATGGGGCTTGTGTCCATAGTGCACAGGGGACTTCTAAAATATTTATTTATTTATTCTCACCCTGACCTTACAAATTTGAGGATTCTAGTAGTTTTGGCCCAAAACAGGCATAAAAAAAATCCAAAAAAATCCTTGTGAGGGGGGGACAGCCTCTGCCTATACTGTGACAATAATATTCTCCTCTCTGATATAAATGTCTGTTTGTTCATCCCCAGACAGAAATGACATTAAGATGGAGTTCTGGTTGCAAGTACTACTACTAATAGGGGAATTCTGTACCACTGTGCATGTGCAGAATTCATGTGGTGTGCAGACATTCCCCCCCCCACCCCCGCAGAAAATATATTTGGCTGGAAAGGTGCTGCAGTTATGCTGCCCACCAGGGTCTACTGTGGCAAACAGAAAGCAGCCGCTCCCAGGCCAGCTACAGCTGCACATAGGGAAGAGAAGAGACTGCCTTCCTCACAGCGCCCTGCCTGGGGGGCCAGGTCAGGAGGCATGGGATATGGGAAGACAGATAGCATGGGGCACATGGGCTGCTGAGGGGGTCACAGACTGGGGTTCATAAGGGCTAGTGGCAGAGACAGAATAGGGCGGCAGCTGAATGGGAGTGTGGGTGCAGGGCGACATAGGGACAGGGTGGAGGTGGTGGTGGGACACATGGGGATGGGGGAGGAGGTGTGGCTCAGGGGGTTGCAGGAACACATGGGAATGGGAGGTGCAGGGACACATGGGGACAGGGGCAGATATGCCTGACTGAATGAGAGAGACTAGGGGGGGTCAGCCAGGATCTGCATGGTGGAAGCTCCCTACCAATCCCTTCCCTGCCCCCCTCCACCCCCCAAAAAAACCTGTTCCATACTTCTCCAACCGACAATCCAGAAATCACTTCCCTCTCCCTCACCTCCTGCATTACCCCCAACCACAGGTGCCAACTTTTGTTGGCGCCGGTGGGTGCCCACCCCCGGCCCTGGCCCCACCCCGACTCTGCCCCTCCCTCCCCAAATCCCCGCCCTGGCTCCGCCTCCTCCCCCAAGCCTTCCGCGTTCCCCCTCCTCCCCCCTCTCTCCCAGGCCTGCCACGCGAAACAGCTGTTTCACAGCGCAAGCTCTGGGAGGGAGGGGGGAGAAGCAGGACACGGCGGCGCGCTCAGGGGAGGAGGCGGAGGTGAGCTGGGGCAGGGCAGAAAGCTGCCGGTGGGTGCTAAGCACCCACCATTTTTTCCCCGTGGGTGCTCCAGTCCCGGAGCACCACAGAGTCGGCGCCTATGCCCCCGACTCCCCCAAGGCTTTGCACTGCTTCCAGAGGGTGTGGGAGTGGGAAATACATTTCTGTATTGTAGTTTAAATGAATTATTACTCAGAGTTCTCTATTAACATGCCTAGTAAGGAATTTATTTGTCAAAAAAAAAATCCCTGAATCTTTTTTGTTGTTTGTATTGTTACAGACATGCTTGCTGACAGGTATTTTGAAATGGATTACCAAAATAATTGAGACTGGTGTGATTATATTGTGTTCTTTTGACAAATAAAATATGCAGAATTTTAAAATATTGTGTGCAGAATTTTTAATTTTTGGAGCATAATTCCCCTAAGAGTATTCATATTTGAGGTAAAATACATTACAAGCGAGTTGTACTTATACCAAAAACAAGAATTACAAACCTAGAAAAGTCAGAGATAAATTTAAAAGAAAATTAATCATGTTACAGTATGGAAATACACAGTGAGGGCACCAAAACAACCTAACTCCATCCAGTAATGATGCAGTGCAATTAATATATGATTGTGATTAAAGCATTTTAGTGTTAGAGGATCCCATATCTGATTATAAAAAGATTTTTAAAGGCACATTGGAGTTTTTCATATATTTCCCCCTACACCACAAAGTTAAGATTGTTTGGGTGCCTTAACAGAACTTTTTTTACTTTAAAAAAAATCCAAACACTTCAAAGTGTAAACATTAATTCTGAAAATCCTTCATTTTACAGTGCTTGAGTCTGAGGTAAGTGCAACATCCTTGTAATATCATTACTCTGACGTTCTGGATAACTACTGACAACCGTAACTCTATCTTAATGTAGTTCTTTGTCTGGGAATTTCCTTACGTTTACTTATACACACGTATACTTTCATACATGAACCCTAAAACAAATCCCATGATAATGCTGCTTTACAACATTTCTAATGAGATGCAGATATGTAATATCAACCTTCCCTCTTCATTTTATTTTCTATAGATTCATAGATTTTTAAGGCCAGAAGGGACCATCATGATCATCTTGTCTGATCTCCTGCATAACACCAGCTATAGAACCCACCCAATAAATTCTGCATCAAGCCCAGAACTTCAGCTTGAACAACAGCCTATTATCTAGAAAGTGCTGCAGTCTTGATTTCAGAGGGCAGATTTACTTCTACACCAAAGCAGGCAGAGCACCCAGTCAGTTTGCATCACCAGAGCAAATGACGTGTGAGTGGTAAATCTGGCCCTTGATTTGTAATGGACTTTATGGGGCTGTGATGGAGACTGCTGCTGTGTCCAGGCTCTGGAAAGATTCCATGGCTGCATTACCAGCGTGAGCAGCAGTGCCTGACAGGTTCCTCAGGGCGCTGCTTCCTCAACTACACTGCACATTGAAGTTGCACTGCTGGGGGGGATCTACTCCAGGAGCATGGGGAGGGGGAGGGGAACTGTAGGATGGTCTTGATTCAAAGCATGAAACTATTCACCGGGTGGCGTGGATTCCTCATCTCACAGACGGGGATCTGAAACAAAGCATAAGTGACTTGTCGCATGTCACACAAGGAGACTAAGGCAGAGCCAGGAGCTGAACTCAGATTTCTTAAACATCAGTCCAGTACCTTAATAATAACACCATTCCTCCTTAATAAGGGCCCCATGTACTACCTACTCACTACACAGGCCTTCTGCTGTCTGATGAGATAATACCTCAGGGTGACAGGGATAACACAGAGGATACATCCTAGCCTAAATTCTGGCTATGGTGTAAATATCACCGTGACTGGCCCTACTGCCATAGATTGAAAGGGCTCATGTTTGAAAACTGGCTCCACAACATCAATTACATCTTGAAATGTGTAACTGAGGGGAGAAAAGGGGACCCAGATATGAGAAGGCAAAGAATCATCAGGCTGTGTAGCACCCCTGGGGAATGCTACCACATCTGTTTGGGCACTCCATTCATAGACTTCACATACCTCTGACGAAGTGGGTATTCACCCACGAAAGCTTGTGCTCCAATACATCTGTTAGTCTTTAAGGTGCCACAAGAGACTCTTTGTTGCTTCATTCATAGACTACAATCTGTGGACAACTATGCCATTGGCCAGTAGATGGCAGTATTTTGATACTACTTTGCAGAGTCTCTAAGGTGCCACAAGTACTCCTGTTCTTTTTGCGGATACAGACTAACACGGCTGCTACTCTGAAACTTTGCAGAGTTTGCGATTTCAGGCCAAACAGGCCAGTTGGTTTCTGAAGGTTTCTTTACTGATATGGTTTGATTAAAGAAAGAGAAGAATAATTGAGTTAATGGGCTTCGCTGATCACAATCTTTAGAAAAAAAAACATAGCTAACTGTGGGCCCCTTAAACCCACAGCTAAGTCCTCACTCACATGAGCAGTCTCCGTGAAAGACATGGGATTACTTATGAGAATAACTGCTCACCATGTGAGTAATAGGAGCATGATTGGCCCTATATCACTAAGTTGTTATAGATGGTCTTGTGTGTAAATGTATGGAAATCTGCAGCCTGCTCTGCTACCCATTGAAGAGTGTCCTTGTTAAACAATGAATCCACCACTGAAACCATCTTATGCCATGTAAGCCTCAGTCTGAGCACTTGAACACCCCACAAGTGAGTAAC